TAAAAAAAGTTTTTACATGCTCCTGGGAAATAAGATATACAGACAATTGGGTATAGAAATTGATCCTGCCCTACAGGAAAATAGAAGGGGAAGGGGATAAGGGGAGGGTGAACAGATTGGGCAAAGGGGTGTTCAGAATGCATGCCAATGGCGTGGGGGTAAGGGAGAGAGGGGGAGGAAATTTGAAACTCAAAATCTTGTGGAAGTGAATGTTGAAAACTAAAAATGAATAAATCAATTAATAAAAAAGAAGAAAAAAATTAAAATAAAGCGAAACTGATGAATTTTTACAATTTTGCCTCACTTAAACTCACCTCATGACTAAGTCAAGATACCACTCTTATGATGTCATTGATCTTCTTCCAAAACAAAGGACAAACAACAACAATTATCTTTTCAAAAATTTTCTTTCATTGCTTTCGTTTCTTTTCTCAATTTCCCTCTATTGACTTTATTTGATTATTAAAATCAGTTTTTAGCCCTTACAGAAGTTCTTATCAGGCTTATAACCAATTCAAATATTTTCTTCGAGCTTTCCTTGTAGCTCTTTTGATATTGTTGTCTTCTGAGTTGTGTTTTGATCTTCACTGTCACCATAGTAGCCTTTTATGTTCAGGTTCTTTTTTTTTTTTTTTTTTGGAGGGTTGCTCATTTTTCCTTTCTATTTCTTGACATTGAACTTTATGTTAAAGCTAGGCTCTTTTGACCTGGGGGTGAGTCACTGTCCCAAGCTTCAGGCTTTTTCACATTGCTGTTTTCTAAACTAGTTTTTAGTGCTTTCAAGGTAGTGTGATGTGGAAAAAAAGATATGGTCACTGCTCTTCTAGTTTGTGTTCTGCTTTTTTCCCAGAAAGGACCCCGATCCCTTTCAACAGCAAGAGATATTGCTCAGGTTCTCTATCCTCTTGTGACAAAGTGATACCGCTCCTCACCCTGATCCCCTCCAGTCACAAGAGTTCCTCTCTGCCTGGACCTGTGACTCAGAAGTAAGTACAAGCAATGGAGTTGTGCCTGGTCCCATACCTAACACTAGCATAAGGGGCCCCTTAAGCTCTTTTTGACCATTTGCCTGATCCTCTTAGTATCTTTTGCTTGAGAGCTCCCAAAACTGCTGCTACTGCTGCTGTCATAGCCTCCAAGATCCACAGCTGGTTTTGCTGCCATGTGATCTCTAGGCCAGTCCCCACCCCAGTGTCACAGACCTTTCCTTCTTATATCCTAAATTGTCTTGGATTGGAAAGAAATCTCAGTTTGACCTTTTGTTGGCTTTGCTGATCCAGAATTCAATTTGAGGCAAGATTTTAAAGTTGTTTGGAGGAGAATTTTGAGGCAGTTTGGCTGTAGTGCTTCCTCATGTTGGCTCCACTCCCCAGAAGTCCTTGAACAAAGCCTTAAAGAAAGCCTGGGATTTTAAAATGTAGAACTGATAAGGGAGAGTGTCCTATCTCCTGGGGCCTATGCAAAGGCCCAGAGGCAGAAGATAAAATGTTTTGTATGGGGAATATTAAGTAAGACAGTCAGACTAGAAAATAGAGGGGGGAAGGGAAAGTAATGCCAAATCCATCTGAAACAATTAGTTGGAAGCAGATTGGGAAGGGATTTAAATGCTCTTAGATATCAAATGCATGAGAACGTGTTTGCCCCAAAAGTGAAAAGGCGTTGTTAAAGGTCCTTGAGCAGTGTGTGCCATGGCCAGCCCTGTTGTTCACTAACTGCATAAGTCTAAAGAAAAGTCAACAAAATGCCAAAGATACAGCTTACTTAAATTCTAGTTAAGTCTCTCTTGAACATCTTGGGAAAATGTTGAAGAGATATGGGCTAAAGATAATCATCCAATTGGGTAGATTTGGAAGTAGTTGAATGGACAGCCCCAATCCATAGTACTTAATAGTTTTATGTCAAAGAGTTCAAGGAGGTCTCTGGCTAATTGACATTTTTATGAACGTCTTGAGTAAAGGCATAAATAACATACTTTTTGAATTTATAGATGATGTAGAGCTGGGATTAGGATTCCAGAAGATCTTGTCAGGTCAACACATGAGCTGACTGTAATAAGATAAAATATAATGCAAACAAATTCAAACTCTTATACTTGGAATAAAAAAAAAAGACTTCACAAGTACAAGATGGAGGTGAGGCTAATTAGTAGTTTCTATTAAAAAGATCTAAGGGTAGGGGGTGGTGGGGTCAGTTGACTTCAAGTTTAATATGAGTCTCCTATGTAGTATAGCAGTCAAATAGTCAATAGTATTTATTAAGCACCTGTTATGTGTCTTGTGCTGTGCTGTACTCAGCTTAAATAATCTTGGGATGCATTAAAGAAGTATGGCAAGGCCTGGGGTCCAGGACCAAGGGGTGATAATTCCTCCATATAGTTCTCTAGTTACATCATATCTTTTGTTTTTGTTTCTGTTTTTAGCTAGTCAATTGAGGTTAAGTGATTTGCCCAGGGTCACAAAGCTAGTAAGTGATATCATATCTTTAATCTTGTTTTCAGTTCTAGATATTTGAGAAAGAATATTGTTAAGCTAGAAAATGTCCAGGGAAGAGCAATGAGGAAGATGAAAGATCTTGAGTTGATTCCATGTGATTATTTGTTGAAGGAACTGGGGGAGACAGGTATATTCCCTTCAAAGAGCTGAGGGATTGTTATGTAGAAAAGGAAATATCCTTATCTTTCTTGGCCCCCAAAGATAGATCAAAGAGCAATGAGTTGAAGTTACAAAGGGAAAAAACATAACTGTGAGGTAAAGCCATATTAGCTAACAATTAGACTGCTAAACCATGAAATAGGCTGCCTTGTAGAGTGGTGGATCCCTCTCTACCACCAAAAGATTTTCAAGCAAAAGTTGGATTTCCAATCACTGTGTATTTTGTAGAGGGTTCAGTTTTTTTTTTTTTTTTTGTTGTTCAAGTGTAAATCAGACTAGAGGGTCTCAATCACCCATGGGAGAGGAGAGGGGCTCACTCAATATAGGCACTTTCCTCTACAACTTGAGGGTCTATGAGGTTATCAGGAGGACATTTACATTTTCCACTGGTTATCCTTTGCCTTCTCCAAATGACTGGCTCTCCAGCTTTGCATTCCTACATTCTCTTCCTCCTTCTTCATTTGCCTTCAATCTCTTCCAGACAGCTAAGTGAAAATTGTGAACAGAAACTCAGACTCACACATTCTATTCCATGAAGTTTACATCTCTTCTTATCCTACAGTGTTCCACCATTGAAAAAATATAATTTCCAGTGGACAATGGCTTTAGTCACAGAAGAAGATAGCAATGTTGTCTAAATCAAAGTAAACTGCAAATATGATAGAGGGCCAGAAGTCAGCCTCAGGTCTAAGTCGTTTTTAGCTTTGGAAGTTCCTAAGTAGGTTTTTATTTTTCTACCTTTCTTTGTATTCCCAGCTGCTTATGTAGCATCCAACACATTGTAGGCATTAATAAATGTTTGTTGATTTGACTTGACTCAGTTTACCATATACTTTGAGTTTCCAAGGTGAAAACTAGTAAGATTATTGAGAATGTGGGATGTGACTTGAAAGTTAGGAATGATCTTCTTGAGAACCAGGTAACAAGCAAGTGCTCCATCCATGGATTGGTGACCATCCAAAATTCACATACTTCAAAGCAGCACAGTGAATAGCTGTGCTTCTAGGGGAAGACTGACTACTACCACAAAGCCATCCTAAAGTATTGCATCCTAGATTATCAGAATTGCCCAGGGTGACACAGCTGGTAAGCATCAGAGTGAATCTTGGTCAGGACGCAACTTCTCTGTGCTAGAGGTCATTTACCCTAGGATTTATCTGATACATCATCATTGAACTGGGAGCTAAGTTGATGGGGATGCTGTGGGGTGGGGGACTTCCTCAAACTGAAGAAATAACAGGTCCTTTGTAGATTCATGTACTAATGAATAGAATAGAATTTTTAAAATGAATAGAATAGCTAACATTTATAGAATGCCTCCTATGTGCAAAGCATTGTATTAAGCACTTTACAAAAAACATTTGGTCCTCACATAACATCCCTTGGAGGCAATTACTATTATTATTTCTATTTTACAGTTGAGGAAACTGAGGCAAATAGATGTTAAATGGCTGACCCAGGGTCACAGAGTTAGTAATTGTATGAAGCCAAATTTGAACTCAGGTCTTCCTGACTCCAGGACCAGTTACTCTATTCACTGTAGCACCTAGCTGCCCTAAGGTGGGCTCTTGTTTCTGTTGATGATGAAAATCATGTTACAGTCATAAGCGTTCTTTCCATTCACTTACTAAAGATACATTAAGCAGCTGCAGTGCTTAGCACTGTGGGGGGAGATACAGATAGAGTAGAACTTGTCCAGCCATTCCCCAATTAAGAAATAATTGGGGAATGTTGATTGGAGAACGGCTAAACATGTTGTGGTATATGATGATAATGGAATACTACTGCATTATAAAAAATGATGAGCTTGATGGTATTAGAAAAACATGGAAGGATTTCCATAAAATAACGAAGAGTGAAATGAGCAAAACCAAGAGAATGTTGTATATATAGTAATAGTAATATTGTTTTAAGAAGAACTTTGAGTGACTAAGTCATTTTGATTATTACAAATACCCAAATTAACTGCAAAAGACCTATGAATGAAGATACTATCGGCATCCAGAGTAAGAATTGATAAATAGTTATATAGAAATGTGTGTGTGCGTGTGTGTGTGTGTGTGTGTGTGTGTGTGTAATGGTAGCCATCTCTAGGGCAGGAGGGGAGGGAAAGAAAAAAGGGAAAAAAAGAAAGTTACATGAAACATTTATTATATATTTAAAAGGACTAGCAAATTGTACATAATAGGTATATGCAGTTTCATGTGAAATCATTTTTTCCTATTCTACTGTTATGGAAGTGTTTCTTTTATTTCTTAAGTTCAGAACAAAATAAAATAAAAACAAATGGAGTAGAACAATAGCTTCATTTCAAATTGCTTTTATTCACACTGGGACAACAGTGGAGTCAAATGATGATACAAAATACAGGACAAAAAGAATTTTTAAAAATCCCCTATGCAGAGGACATATTTGACGGTACTCTACACACTAAATACCAATTCTCAGCAATATTTGGGAGCACACCAGTGGATTTTGCAGTGGATGCCTACAGATACAAAAATGTATCACAAACAAGAATAATAAAACAGAAGTGTGTTCAGCCTTATTAATTTGACTGTATATGCATCAATCCTTGATTCCAGACTAATTCTGCCCATCTGGGACAAGCTCATGACTGCAGAGTGTTCAGAAAAGGCTTGGAAATGCATTTTTTTTTCTCAAGAACAGATCATTACTGTAACTAACCAAGCCAACCAAGGTCAAATCCAACGGTGTTCCAAAGATAACAAAATGGCTTCATTACAGCAACAGAGAGTGAACAGATAAAGAGAGAAGACGCTTTAATTGGACCATTGAGCCAGAGACCCCATTGCCATACGGATTGACAAGTCTGGTCTAGAGCTTTGAATCATGACTATTTGTCAATAAACATTTATTAAGTACCTATTATGTGCCAGGCACTATGTTATTATGACAGTAATAACAGTTGTTTTGCCCTTTGATTAAGATAGAGAATAGGGTCTGTGATTTAGCTTATACAGGGTACTCTCAGATGAGGAAAATCTTTCCACCAATAAAAGTTGTCACTTTCTCTAAGACTAATAGGCTTAGAGAATTGCCCAGAACCCTAAAATGTTAAATGATTTTCTTCGGCACACAACTTCCTAGCTTTGTTTCTAACTACTATGCCATGCTATCTGTCATCTGTATGTCTCTGTTTCTGTCTTTCTCTGTCTCTCCCACATATATATCTATATGTACTCTATAGATCCATCTGTGGTCTCAATTAAAAATATTCCCCTTGTTGCAAATCTCTACTCTTCTTTATTCATAGTAATATGCTTTGAATAAAAATCTGAAGACCCTTGTTCTAAATGTCGTGTCAGCTCCCTTTCTATTTGTGCATTCATTAGTATTTTAACCTGTTGTTTGTTATGTACATAGGCATCTATTAATGTAGTCTTACACCATACATCTTCAGCTCCTAGAATGGTGAGTTCAAGTATTTCTTTTTGTACTTTGTAGAGCAAAACCTCTTATACAATTAGATATTAATAAATGGGTCCCAGAAGAAGTCCCAGTTAACTTCTCAAGACTCTAGGCAACTCTTTTAGACTATAAATTGCCAAGGATGTACCTTCCTACACTGGTAGAGGGAGTCCGAATTTGAGCTTCCTCTATCTCAGTAAAATCTCGGGAGCCATCTCTGGTCCCTGTCTTTTGACTCTGTCCCCATTCTGTCTCACTAAGTGGGAATAGTGCCCTGCTTCACCTTTACATCACTGAAATTGTAAACTCTGGTCTGGTGGGAACTACATTTCAGTATTTTTCATTCATTCCAGTTTGATAAGCAATTATGGTCAATGGGAGATAATTAAGCTCCTTGAGGACAGGGGCTATTTCTTTTTTGTCTTTTTATCTCCAGCGTCCAACGCAGGGCCTGACACTCCATCAGCTGATTTTATTGTATTGCAGACAAAGGTGAAGACAAGGATGGGGACAATACCATTCTTCAGAAAGATGGATGGAAACAAGAATGATCCCCTCATCAGGGATCATTGTCCGCTAGGGGAGCTCCATGGTCATCTGATGAAGATGACACTAATGATAATGACGACAGTGAAAGCCCTTCATTTCTCAAATAGGCAGGACAGCTCATCTGGTTTCCATTTCTTTGGGATATGAAAATACCTTCTCTATGAAAACTATTCAACAGGTGTGTTCCCCCCTTGCTTCCCTCCCCCCCTTTTCACCCACATTCTCTGCAGGGCTGAGTGATTTCATTCTTTAGGCAGCAGAAGAATGTAAAGAGATATGATGCTCTCTGGGATGACGACAAGGCCGTCTATGGAAGGATGACTTCTGATCTTGAAGAGAATCCCCCTTCCACTAGTTACCTTTTGGGTGATCTTATTTGAAGTTATTTGAAATCTAATATTGCTCAAATAATGACAACTTGAGTGGAAACTTTCAAGGGGAAATCAGCAAGAAATATACAATGAACTTCTAAAAAATTCTTAAGTACCAATGCTAGATAAACCACAGGTACTAGAGGGCCCGTTAAGAGAAATTCTGCCCCAGGAGATTTTTTTCTGTGAGCATTCTTGCTTCTGGTTCCATATGGATTCTGTAAAGAAACCAAGTCAGTTTACAAATCTCTATGATTGACTTTTGGAAAGAAAGCAGTGCCATGCTTGTAGGGAGGTGGTTAGAAGGTCTTAGCAAGAGCACATCTTCCATGTGGCCCTGAGCTCTTCATGTCCAAAGGCATCCTCATTTCAAGTCCATTCATTCAGTAAACTAGCATTTTTTGAGTTCCTCAAATCCCCTCTAGTTCCCAGGCACTGGATAATATGAAGGTAAAATCCGAAGTTCATTATGTCTTAGATATAACAGAGATGTGAATGAGAATATACGTGTGGAATAGAGACAAAAATGAGAGCTTGATTTCAGCTCTTGAATATTAGAAGTGTGATCTGTATTTCTTTACATAAATCTGCCAGGTGGAACACTAGCAGCATATCTCCACTTGGTGTCAGCAGCCCTAGGGTGGAATCTTGGCTTTGCATCTTCTTACCTGTATGACTTTGTGCATATTCCTTGACCTCTGGGCCTCAGTTTCTTGCTCTAAAAAGATGGAAGGAGGGTTAGACTATATAACCTGTAAGGTCTCTTTTAGCTTTAAATCTGTATTCACTATGGCTCAGTGCATGGTCTCATTTTCTCCTCTAATTTGCTGCAAATCCACTAAAATATCCATCTGAAACTATTTTTCTCATCTTTGAAGGAACCATATCATTTTAAATTCACACTCACACATACACACAAGCTCCATTGTGAACAAAGAAACACAATTTTCCCATCAAGTACGTTTGTCTGTACTATGCCCTTTGATGTGATTCATATTGAAAAGGCCTAGACTTTTTGGAGAAAGTTGGTTTTGTTTAAGTATTTGACAATAGGAGACCTTTTCTTCTTGCTCCCATTATCTGAGCACTTTAACGCATCTTTTTATTAAAAAATTAAGTGCTTTATCCTCTAACTCCTTTCTGCTGATTTAGAAAGCTTCATTTTTTCTTCCCAGTGTGGGCATGTTATAATATGCGTGTGTGTGTGTGTGTGTGTGTGTGTGTGTGTATGTGTGTGTGTGTGTGTACAGTCATTTTCCTGCATATATCCAGTAGAGTCCATCAGAATGAGGCAGATTATTGATAAAACAAGAGGAGACAAGTTTATATGTAGACAGAGTGCTCAGAGTGGTCTCCTTTGGGAAACTATTAATAATAATAACAATGATGATATGACTGTGTGAAGAACACATCAGCAAGTAAAACTGGCCTCTCCATCATGTCTGGTGTGTTTCAGAAGTGTTGATATTCTCCAAAAGCCTCTATTCCATCCCTCGGGGCAACCATTCCTTTAATGGCATAATTAAAACACAGTGGTGCTCTGGGCTCAGAAACACATTCAACCATGATTAATCTTCCACAGAGTTTCTCTGCTTGCCCCTGAATTGCACAGACCCCAACTCTGAGCCAATGCATGCCCCTTCACAAGGCAAATGGATGATTCATCTAGGAATGCACCACGAGTTGGATGGCTGAGGCTTGGACTTGCCAATATACTGTAATGCAGCAGCAATCCACAAACTTCAGTTAATTTACAGGAGGTTGCCGACACTTGTTTCTTCTCCATTCCCATTAAAAAGTACAAGGCCTGGCAGGGACAGAAAAGAGCACACAGAATTTTCTATCTTCAAGTTAATTTTAAAGCAATACAATTATGTTTCTAATTAAAATATGTTGTAAAGTTGCTAAATGATGTGATAGGAAAAAATATTTTTTCAAGTCACAAGCCTCACTGTCCAAGTCTCTAAAACAAATGCATTTCTTGCAGTGATAACCAAGAAACAACCACAACTGATGAACAAGAAGGGTGTCGTGAGTTCTCCGTCAAAACTTGGGAGGAAATTTACAAAACCGTAATCAAAGTGATGAATCAATATTAACCTTCCCCTTACCCAAATGTAAGTCTATTTTTACCTAATGCAGAGCTACCTTCTCTTTCAGATTACCCATTTCAAAGGGTGGCTCGGATTTCTAAGATGTTGAACCAAGTATCCGGCAATTTTCGTATATGTAATAAAAGTCTTTAAAATTAAAATAGTGATCCTAAGAAAAAAAACACCAACACATGAAAAATAGAGTCTGACTATAACAAAAGAGAGTTATATAATTCTCCTTGAGTGAAACCTTTCATCTTTGATTTACAGGTTTGAGCCCTCTCTAACTCAAACCACATTGCCGCATATCTTTGAGAGCACGGCCTTCCCTCAAACCTTGTTTAAATTAAGGTTCCTTTTAGATTTCTGAATAAAAGCATGACAATCTTCACTTATTGCTTTAATATATCCTTTGAGTTAGGAAAATATATTAAAAATGAATACCAATAGGTTTCCAAAGTAGTGCTAGGTATTAAATACTGCAAGAAGAATCCTAGATGTAATATTTCACCTCTGATGTTTTAGGTGATTGAGCTGCACAAGAAAATAGAATACTGAAAAAAAAAAAAACCTCCGTATCACAAGATGAGTTGATTTTTAACTCAGAAAAGAAATTTCCAATTTTTTTTTTCTTTAAACCTTCTGACCATAAGGCAACATGTGGAAAGGTCAAGGGTCCATTGCTGGTTAAAGGCACAGCTCTCAGTTAATACTAACCAACATGAAATCAAGTAGCTAATACTATTTCTTAAATAACAACACATTTCAAGGATCAAAAAAAATAATCATCTAAATCCTCCCAAGTTTCATCAGCAATGCTCAACCTGTGGGTTCTCAAACGTGAAAACAATATAATTGAGCCCAGTAATTACCTTAAACTAGAAATGTAAGCTAACTAAATGGGTGCCAAGAAATGCCTGAGCCACAGAGATGCTCATACGGGGAAAACTCAAGCATCCGTAAATATGTGGCCTCAGCAAAACTTTTGGAGCAAAGGATGGGCTTCTTAATAGAAGGGAAGAGGCTTCCAGTCACCAAAGAAACCAGAGCCTTCCCATCTGTGAGAACTTCAAGTGGGATGTGAGTGAAACAGAGATTGCATTCTCAAAAAAGCATTTTCGTTTTCATGCATAATCAAAAAAGAGTTCCAAATTGTGCCCTACCACACACCCACTGCCTTGGGGACTGAAACTTTGAAGGAGGTAGCACTTGCTTTCAGATTAAAAATGCCCTCATCCCATTTCTCTTAAATTTTGACCTCTCACTTGCTAGAATTTGTGAGGGTGTAAAAACAAAGGTACAATATGTTATCTTGTTTGCTCAGAGCTGAAAACAAATCCTGTACACAATTTCAAACCATGTGAAAAAAATTAGCCTATCGAAACCAATTCAACATGTCTGAAAGAACATTCTTAGGGCTTTCCCCTGGATCTTCCTGGCTATCACCATCCCTATAATGTGGATAGAGCTGAGGCCGCGGGCTAGCCGAGGGCCAATTTCTTGTCTGCTAGTGGGTCGCATAGCACATTCAGAGCCCACGTGTTGGAGGCCATCCCTCCCCAGTATCATTGCCTGTAACTTTAGAATCAGACTGGTTACATTGAAGGAGTCTTTCAGGCCCTTTTAAGTCCATCCAGAGGACAAGTGAAGCTGCTGTGTGTGCTCTGTGCCCAGTGTTTATGTTCCATTCGATCTGTGCCACCCAGGCAGCAGACAAGACATGTCTGAGGGTGCTTGGTTGGGGGTGGGGGTGGGGAGATACACAATGATGTCACACACAGGAAATACCGGGGTGGGGGGGAACTTGGCACTTCACAGGGCTGGATCTTCATCCATGGGCTCGCCAGCAGGTCTGTAAAAATAAACAGGCAATCAGAAGAGGGCCGAGGAGTACACAATGACATGGTAGATTTTCATGCATAATCAAAACTGATTTTTCAGCTCTCTCTGATGTTTATTTGTGCTATTCAGCTATCCATAAATAGAGTTTCTTTCCTAGGAAGTATAAACACATGTCAAGTGGAAAAACATTCTGGATCCCGGCAATCACGGCAAACATTCCTGTTTATATTAAAACATGTCAGAATATTTTATAACTCTAGCTTCAGAAAAGCTCATGGTTTCTTTCTTAAAGAGTCAAAGATGTTAATGAAAAAAATAATGATAGTATCCTACTCGAGGGATATTCATTCAGAAGGTTTTCTTGGGCAACTGATTCGAAAGATCAGAGCAGCTCACCCGGTCTGGGAGTGGGGGTTCCTCACATGACGCCTTTTGCTTCTGTTTTTTCATAACTGGATTGGCGGACTGCCTGCGGCCCTTCAAATCAAATTCTGAATTTGATTAGCAAATCACTGCAAAGCACCCAGGTTTGGACTAGAAATCATCTCTGGTGCTTATCTGGTGTTATTAGGCATCATTTGGGGGCTCAGCCACTTGGACAAAACGAAACCCAACTGCTTCAGATTTTCAACCTAAGAGCTGACTTTCATACACTAATGCTTTAGAGGAGAGCTAGCGTACATGTGGGAGAAGGGCTTCAAAGATTACCTTGTGAGAGATGTAGAAACTGGGGCAAGGGAAGCAAGTTTCTCCAGGCCTCTGCAGAGGCTTCCTTAAAAATATTGTGCATGTGTTCCCCTAATAAACCAAGATGCTGACATGTGCACAACAAAGGGAAAATAAATAAGGAAACACACATGTATGCATGAACTCTCTCACACACATATGCCCATACACATAGCTACAAACACACACAACCCTTTATCTAGAATAAATTACTGTTCAACCTTTTAGCCCAACTTACACATTCTGTTCAATCCATCTTACACATTATCTTTTTTTAAAACAATTTGGGGTTTGGAATACACCTCCAAATTATGGCAGCACCTTTGTAGCTTGGAAGTATTTTTAATTAAAAATTGACATATCAAATGGAAAAATTATTATTGGCAGTACTAATGGCCAATTATTTTATGGGATCCTAGAATCTTAGACTCATAGATTTAGAGAAAGAAGGAACCTCAGAGGCCATCTGAGTCCTTCCCCCTTTTTTACAGATGAAGAAACTGAAGTCAAGACATATTAGGCGTCTTGCTCATTGTCATATAGCTAGTAAATGAAAAAAAAATGGAATTTGAACCTATGTTCTTTTATTCCAATACTTTCTAGTGTTTCATGCTACTTTTTTTTGCTAGGCAATGGGGTTAAATGACTTGCCCAGGGTCACACAGCTAGTAAGTGTTACATGTATGAGGCCGGATTTGAACTCAGCTCCTCCTGAATCCAGGGCCAGTCCTCTATCCACTGCACCACCTAACTGCCCCCATGCTACTTCTTTTAAGGACAACTATACACACATATATACATATATACACACACATACATACATACATACACACACATACATATACATGTATAGATAGATATATACCTCGTTTAAAAATATATATATAGCACAGACCAAATTTTTGGTTTTGAATCTTAGCTCTTTCCTTTACTAATTATGTGACCTTGGATACATTACTTAACTTTTCTGAGCCTGTTTACCCTCACCCCTGTAAAATTAGGGGGTTGGACTAGATTATCTCTAAAGTCCTTGCAGCTCTACATATATGATGCAATGACCTTGCCTGTGTGACAATGGGATAATCACTAAAATTCTCTGAGACTTCATTTCTTCATCTGGAAAATGAAAGCATTGGAATATTAATTAATTAGCAAGCATTTGTTTCGAGCCTACTACATTTTACTACTATTTTGCTCAGTATTGGTAAGACAAAGACCAAAATGAAACTATCTTTGCTCCTATGGGGATGATTTTTATTGGATGAAATGTGTACACATTCAAATGAATACAAAGTACGGACAAAATAAACATAATGTAGTTTCAAAGTCAGGGGTCTTGGTAGGGGATGAGCATTTAAGAGGAGGACTTAGAAAATGTGGTGCCCGAGTGGATTTTGTAAGGAAGTTAAGGATTCTAAGAGGTTGAGATGAGAAGCAATTGAATACCAGGCATGGGATTTTGCTCATACATGTACGAAGATAGGAGATGTAATGCATATAGAGGACAGTACAGAGGCTTGTTGCACAAAAGAAAAAAAATACATGAAGTTGAGTAGTGGGCAATGGTCTTGAAAGGTAGGATAGAGCTAGACTGAGAGGGAGCACATGTTCCCAAAGGTCCCTCTGAGCTCTAAATCTTATGATGAGACAGGAGGCTATTAGAGCCCCAAATGGATTTATATACCACTACTGGTGGGTGGGTTTAATAAACATATATTTTCCCATATTTTCTGGCATACATTTTCACAGGTGCTTTTCTAGGACTAAATCCATAATAGGATGAGGATGCACATTATATATTTTTATTTAAAAGCTTCATAAATATTGCATATGGAATTTTATAAAATATATTAGTTAAGACTTCCAAGCATATGCAGAGAAGTAAGGGTAAGAACTGGAAGTCCAAAGACATTTTTAACGAATAGTGTTGTATTGAGGATCCATCTTTATAAAACTGTGTCTTATACCTGGAATGGAAGCTTGTAATTTAGGAAAATCAGAAGTATATTTTCTAAACAAGTAGCCTTTTGCATTGGGAACTGTGGGTTATATAAGGTCCTGTTTTGGTTTTTTTTTGTTTTGTTTTTGTTTTCATCGGCAATCGGGAAGCAGCTGGTAGGTGTGAGCGGGCTACAAATCATTAGAAATATGGAATTCTGAACATGGTGAACTTATGGAGGGACATGGATAAGAAACACCCAGGATAGAAAGGAATGACTAAGAGGTGACCTTTTTTATTGTAGGGAATGCCCACATGAATGAGATTACAGATCTCATTGAGGCATCAAGGTAACACGGTGAATAAAACATGAAATTTGGAGTCAGGAAGTCACTTTACCTCAAAGCGTCAGTTTCCAAATGCATTAAATTAGGATAATAATTCCATCCACCTTACAGAGATATCGTGTAGCACTAGATAAAATGAGATTCCTAAATATGAAGTAAGTTCTCAAGCCGTTACCCCTGCTTTTAATTCACTTTCTTCCCTTCCCAATCTTGACTTAAAGTTAATTAATTTGAAAGGACATTGTCCTCTGTTTTCAAATCCCTTTGCTCTTGTCTTACTGTTGCTTATTTCTGACCAAACTCCAGTCCTCACACCTCACGTTTCCTTTCATATATTTTGCCTCTGTGATGTCATTTCCATCATTTGTTGTCCCTCACTCCATTCTAACTTCCATCTCATAGAATCTGTCTCTTCCTTTAAGAAACACCTCAAACACCACCTTCTATAAGAAGGCTATCCTGATCCTTACCCAACCGCTAGCTACAGATGCCCTTCTAATCTAACTCCCTTATACTTATTCATTTTATGTATATTAACTGTATATACTTATATATGTACATTTTGTCTCCCTGGAGAGAACATAAGCTTCTTAAGAATAAAAATTGTTTTATTTTATGCAGCTAGGTGATACAGTGCACTGGACCTGGAAGACCCAAGTTCAAATCTGGCCTGACTTACCAGCTGTATGACATTGGTCATTGTATATGACATTGTTTGCCTTATTTAACTCAACAGTAAAATTAGGATAATAAAAATCACCTACCTCACAGGGTTGTTGTAAGAATTAAATGAGATAATATTTATAAAGGGCTTAGCACAGTGCCTGTCATGTTAGTCTTATTATTTTCTAAATTTGTTACCAATGCCAGCTCAGTGCCTGCCACATAGTAGCTGCTTAATAAATGTTTATTGATTAAATGGTATTTTAAGTTTACTTTGTTCCTTTCATTTTTAAGTCAATAATTTCTCTCCGACATTATTTTTATTCTAACTACTTATTTTATTTGTTAAGAAAGCTTTGTAACTGTCTGAGGATTTAGTCCTCACACTTCCTTCTAGTTTTAGGTTATTCTATCTTGATTTATGTGTATTGCTCTGGACCTTTAATTGAGTTAGAATCTTTGTTATTTTAGCCTTTTCCCCCTTATATTCCTCATCACTCACTTCCTGATTCCTCTTCCTTTGCTGCTGGCATATCCCTAGGGCTAGGATATAAAGCTACCTTAACCTCCTCCAAAATTGGGATTTTAGTGTTCATCAACCTGACCTAATTAGTCTACTTGACCTAATTGTCCTCTGGAGAAATAGAACTGACCCCATCTGGATATCAGTTCCATTCATTTTAGGTCTAGCAAGTTCCACCCCCACACTGTCTCTTTCCCCAATTCTTCCCTTGACTCCTCATTTTCTTCTCTAGCTGCAATGAATCAGTATCTGACTTTTTTTTTTGGAGATTTGGGGAAGGTTGCTGGGTGTTTCAGAGAGAATATTTGAAGCCTTAAAAATCCTTAACGTGGGAGCCACCCTATGAAGAATGTATCAGATTTCCCTCCCCCCTACCCAGTCCATAACTGTACAGAATCATGAGCTAGTATTTGTTGTTAAGGAGGATGGTGGCAGTAGGGAGGTTTTGGGCAGTGGATGAGGCATACTGGAAAAGTCATTTTAGCATGAGAGAATACCAATATTGGTCACAGGCACAAACCCATGACAATAGTTTGAACACAATACTAGTCTCTTGATTCCCAGAGCAGAGAAATACAAGACTTATAGCTTGAAGAGATTGGGGTTTGGAGGACAGTCATTACATTTGTTAGTTGTCTCTGTGATACTTAGAGAGTTTCCTCCTCTTCAAATGGGGTGAGTGATATCTACCTCAAAAGACTGTTGTGAGGAAAATATTTTGTAAACTTCTAAGTGTTATATTCAAAGCAAACAAAAGTCCCTCACATTTGCCTAGTACCATAAAGTTTCCAAATCCCCTTATCATAGTCCTT